CTGACTAAATAAATCAACAACGCACGAACCTAGTAACTGAAACGCGAACAAGACTTCAAACAGAAGCACAGGATTTGATACGAGTTTTCATTCAGTAAACAAAGCCAAAATACACTGTGCTCCAGTTACATGATACACACACAAAAAACGTCACAGAACAAACATTCACTAGATACAGACATCAACAACAGTGTCATCCGACCCTTGATGAACATTCAGTTTAAGTTTCAAATAGATGATTTTAGTCAAACCTTCACATCTCCATATCTGCTAGTCATTTATCCTATTTCTCCTATGGTGTGTTACTGATTATACGGAGTAGCCTCACAGATCTTTATTACTATTTCATTGTTAGATGGTAGGACTTCCTGCACGCGGAAAGACTTACATTGCACAAAAAGGTGATTGCAGTCGGATATCATTGATATGAGGTTCTGAGTAAGACCGTTTTTGAAAACAAATATATTCAATATCCTTTAGTAACTGACTGAATATCGATCAACGACCTGTCTTTCATTAGTTTATTGTATTACATTCTTCCATCATTTTAATATTTCCATTCTTCATCGTTGTCTAACAAACAGTATGCCGCTATCTCCAATGGGTGTGTGTATCTGCCAAAGTATTCAATGTCGGAAACTACCGCCGCAAGTTGCATGGTGCTCATCAGACACACACTTTCTTCGACTCGAATAATCCTCAAGGTGAATCAGCACGAAAGGAGGCAGCTGCGCTCGCATTAAAAGACATGATTCGATGGTTTGAGGAGGAATCGGGTACCGTTGCTATATTCGATGCAACCAATACCACACGTGAACGTAGGGCTTTTGTTCTTGAGGAGTGCGAAAAACATAACATTCAAACAATGTTTATCGAGAGTGTTTGCCAAGACGAAAAAATGATCTTACAGAATATTATGGATGTGAAGCTGAGTTCACCTGATTACAAAAATGTTGATCCCGAGTCGGCAGCAGAGGATTTTCGCGCGAGGATTTCTCATTACGAAGAAGTGTATGAAACGATCAATGAGAAAGATTATACGTATATAAAGCTGATTAATGTTGGGAGTCAGGTGGTCATCAACCACATCAAGGGATATTTACAGAGTAGAATAGTGTACTATCTGATGAACTTACATATTCTGCCGAGGAGTATATTTTTCAGTCGGGTGAGTATATCATAATGGTGGTGTTGGATCATAAAACTAGAATGTCTTAATTCATTAAAACGGCCATAATTTAATAATATCAACTTATGGAAATTCATTCAGTTGACTACATATTAACCCATTGGTAATTAGTACCTACAATGAATATTCCCTTGTTGTCATTCTCCTGCTATATCTAATGCTTCCCATTCACAATGTGCCAATATTTATCACATTATTATCACTCTAATCTCTTGTTACCTCCATTTACTATTTTTCCTGTTAGCTTGTCGCGTATTCAGCTCTTTATATCTCCAACTGGTTTTATATAATTGTAAATTAAATTATATCTCTTCATCTCCGTTTATTAGCACGGCGAGAGTATGTTTAATCTGATGGGCAAAGTTGGCGGTGATTCTGACCTTTCTCCGCGCGGGCGGCAATATGCCCAGGAATTACCGAAGGTCATCGCTCAGAATCTTGGGGATCACGAATTGACGGTGTGTGACGTTATGGTTGCAGTATTGTTTTGATTACCCTACTGCGTTTGGATTGATTTTCGAGTGGGCTTTCCCCCCCTTAGATACGAGAACAATCACTATCATAATATATGCCTACCTTACTATACTGCTATTTTATTACTGGTTAGGTGTGGACGTCGACAATGAAGCGCACAATACAGACAGCTGAATTGTTGCCATATCCCAAGTTACAATGGAAAGCATTGGATGAATTGGATGCGGGTGTCTGTGATGGAATGACATATGAGGAAATTGAGGTTAGTGGGCGTATATGCTGCCGATGCTTCCCCCTCTGTTATGTAAAAAGAACAAGGAAAATTTTTTCGTGCGACTGTTTCCATTGTTTCTATTGTTTTCGTTCTGACGCGTTGAACTCTAAAATTTGAGTTCCACACTTAAAAGTTTTGTCACTTTCGCCGAATTCTCAGTGTGTCCAATTATCCCATAAGACATTTGACATTGAGAATGACATACAGGGATGAACTGATTCGTCTTGTGAACATATTGTAGGTGCAATATCCGGAAGATTATGCCAATCGAGATGACGACAAGTTCAATTACAGATATCGTGGTGGAGAGGTTCGTGCAATGTGATAAAAGATGGCAATCCATTTTAAATGTGCGAATATTACTTCCCAATTACCGAATTCGATTCGAAGGGTTGATTGTTTAGAGTCAATAATTTCTTTCATTTGTCTGTTTTGGTTGACTTTTGTTCATTTCATTCGATTGTTCGATTGTATAAGTATTAGGCGCACCCCATAATATTTGTTCTTGTTGTACCGCGAGGAGGGAAATTTATGTGGCGGGGAAGAGAATACCATCGCCGAGTCTAAAATTTTCTATGCATGTTGTCCATCATCATTGCAGTCGTATCGCGATGTTGTATTTCGTCTCGAACCTGTGATAATGGAATTAGAAAGACAAACGAATATCCTGATTGTTTGTCATCAGGCAGTCCTTCGATGTATGTACGCATACTTTCATAATTTGCCGCAGGATGAACTACCATACATCAAGATTCCTCTCCATACGGTCATTAAATTGACGCCAAAGGCATATGGATGTGAAGAAGTCAGATACAAGGTGGATATCGATGCAGTGGATACACATCGTCCTAGAAATCCGAAGAAGCAATCGCTAGCCAATGGACCAGGAAACGGCTTGGCAGAACATCCTCGCCCATGACGACATGGCCGGGGTTATTGAAGATGCATATTCGGAGATGAATGTACTGGGTTGTGAGTGGGAGATAGAGTGGTCATATGGTTTGAGTGTATTTCCGTATTTGGTAAGGACGGAAATATAGGTGACAGCATAGCGCTTTTCTTTTATATAGACTATTTTTTGGAGAGTTTCTTCGATGTGCCTTAAATACGATTATTTAATTTCGGATAGTTTGTCTAGTTATAAAAATATTTTATTGGACATATAGTTCCTAGTGGTAGTTGTTTCTCGTCTTTAGTTTTTTAATAGCATTGTTAAAGATGGAATACAACGTCATTTCGATAATGAGACGCAAGACAAGCAGTGAAAGCTAAATTTGGCCGGGTCATATTCATGCGTAAATGGGGCTTTTATGCATAAGAGTCTTTGTTCTTTCGTATATTGCCGGAGATGAAGCTTATCAATGTGGAGGTGGAGAGCGGAGAGCAGTGATTGTTTAACAATATATAATAGTATAAAGTAAATAATGGTGGGTATTTTGGATATGATTGATGTGATTTTGACGTTTTGGCATTTTGTAATGCAACAAACTTTCTGCCGCCCCTGCATTCCTCGCATAACGAGTATTGACATAACCGGATCCAATAGAATGATAAGCATTAACAAATAACGGACATTTTAATGTACTATAGTATAAATAATTTATAATAATAGCACTATTATTATTATTATTATTACGATTATGATTATTATTATTAGTAGTAGTACGTGATACTATTGTTGAGCTTAATGGTGGTCGCTATTGTATTTTATAAAGAGTGTTCTATATTCGTAGTTACATCAGGTGACATTCAAGCAGGATTTGTTCCTGCACACAAAAGTTTTTTTTCCCCGTTCATTGTTACTAATCAGTTTTTTTTGCTTATTTACATTTAACTGTTACTACTCCCCACAAATACGCATAATACGCATAATACGCATAATACGCATATCCTAACATTAAAATAACTCATTAATATTGATTCTTCTCTATGCTGTATAAATTGCATTTAACCCGCCCACAATCTGACAAATTTTATTAAATGTACTAGTCAGAAAGTGAAAGTGGTCAACATATCTTGCGTTACCTTATTTGAGGTGTTGTTTTTTTTCCTGCTACTCCCGCCCATCTTGCTTCTTTATTTTCCAGTCTCTTGTTCCCCTTCCCCCCTTCTTCCCCACTCCCCCTTTCCGCCAACTTCTACATTTATTATTTATTTACAAAACATTTATAAAGACTTGCTGAGCTCATGACCTCTTGCAAGACTTATTTCTTCTGCTATCAAATTATTACTTTACTAATAGAGAAATATCTCTTTATCTTATAAATATACATATAAATATACATATTTTCTTTATATTCGTTCCCTAACCTATAGAATAGAGTGTATATAATATATATACGTTTACATAAACCAAATAGACCCAAGCAAGACAGTAGGAAAGAAGACTACCTCTACTTGCAACATTCTATCGCTACTTGATATCCGTAACCATCGATATTTTTTCACTTGAGGATTTACAAATGACTACCCCTCTTTATCCTCCAATGTACTCTCCTCACACGTCTCACCCTATTCGTTCTTGCATCGCACCTCCTCTGCCTCCTCTAACCCACGTCTATTCAAGTGACCCAAGTGCTCATGTTATAAGCACAAAATCATCTTCAACATCATCTTCATCATATCTCTATCAACAAGTGTATTCGTCTAATACATCCAAATCAATATACAATAAGAACATCGAACGGCATTCTCCCGTCCTTCCTCCTATATACTTCGCTACTACACATTATCCAAAGGGAGTGCTAGCTTCGCCAGTTGAACAAGTGACATCTCGTCCGCGTCTAGAAACTCATAGTGACAGTTATTTTTCATTCGAACCATACACAACCGCTAGAGCATATGCATCTCCTGTCTCACATACTCCGCATGCTCAACCTGACACAAATTGCAACACCGCAACGCTATCACCGCCATTTGATGCATCTGTCTCTAGTCTATCTTGTCGGTCATCATCTATTAATCAGATCCTATTGAGGGATGAAGAGAATGGATTTGAGCAAACAAGAATAAAGCGGCAGAGAAGGGACGAGAGTGACACAAGAGAAAGAGAAAGCGATGACGATGATGCTTCTAGTAGTTGTAACGAATGCCGGGAGAGGCGGTGAGTGATCAATCTACCGAACTTTTATCTCGTTAAACAACCTGTTTACGCTTTTTTTATTGCGTCTGCAGCCCTGTCTGACGTCATTGATTGTCGCACTAATGATATGTTCACCTAACATTTCCCCTACTAGTAACAGCAGTGATACTGGAAGCATATTGAGCGATCCTCTACCTCAACAACAGATTCTCCGACAAAACAAGGGTTTACGACATTTTAGCAAACAAGTCTGTGATAAAGTAGAACTAAAAGGCGTGACAACTTACAACGAGGTAATAAAATCATTACAATAAGCGTGCTATGACACATTATAATCATCTATGGAAATTTTGTTAATTTACGTTCTAATTAGACTTTTACATCTTCATGCTGTCACCGCACCAATACCATTGCATTGCTATTTGTTGAAATCGAATAATTTATTGTATTACTTGCATTAGGTCGCGGATGAATTGGCTGACGATTTTGCCACTCAGATGTTAGAACATGGAGGCGTAAGTGTGCACCAGTAACTAAATCGATATCTGTTGTTCGCCCAATCCTAACGATCCTAATATATGTTTCCATCCAGGCTAAAGTTGACCAGAAAAATATACGTAGGCGGGTATACGATGCATTAAACGTATTGATGGCCATGGGGATAATACAAAAGGATAAGAAGGAGATACGATGGCTGGGATTATCTGGAGAAGGGGATGATGGTAGTTCACCCTCTTCGTCTGTGACGATGAGAGAAGAACTCGAGAGACAACGATCCGAACTAAGGGAACTTGAAGTAAGTCATCAAGTTTACACGATTTAAAAACCGTGTCCTGTTATTTAATAAATTATTATTTAAAACGTATTTACCTCAATGTAATAATAGCGAGAGAACAAGCGGCTTACTAGAGAAGTCAGAAGTAAGAAACATGTTGTGCGGGACAGATTTCGTCGAGTAAGTATCCGGCTTCTTTGTCCTCGTATGAGCAACACATTAAGAGTCTTATGGACTACTGTCTAGAAAATAATTAATACGTATCCCAATAACTTTGGATCTACTCTTTGTAGCGCCTACAACTTCGTAACTTGATCAAACGTAACAGTGAGAGGTTGTCCTGGCGAGCAAGCGATAATTTCAAATACGAGAAACCGTACCTTACCTTGCCATTCATGCTCGTTCGATGTTCTCGCGGTACGTCAGTTGACATCCAAAAGTCCTCCGATGGGTAAGTCAAAATAGGTTTAAGAACTTCAACTGTGCAAATCATATGGACGAAATATTACGAGTCTATCGACTTCTTGGGCTAATTAGCTGTTTGTTCCAATGGCTGGACCGATTTTGTACAGGGAATCAATCCTGTCGTTTTCTCCTCACGAACCAGAAATCATCAAGGATAGTGACATCCTTAGTCGTCTGGGGATGGACAAATTCAGTGCAGGAGACTTACATCAGTGGAATGATACAGAATTCATTAGATGGCTTGTTGACTTTCATCAAGGATAATGTCGTCTGGGGATGGACAAATTCAGTGCAGGAGACTTACATCAGTGGAGTGATACAGAATTCATTAGATGGCTTGTTGACTTTCAAGACTAACGATATATCTCTGTGACTCAACTATGACAACCAATCGTACATCCATTGTTCCTCGCGTTCTTATTTCATTACATTCGCTATCCGCCGGTAGATAGTAATCACACACACACGTTTCATTATTAACTATTTGTTGTTATTTAGTATTCACCCGATAAAGTATTTCATTTATCACTATCTTCACGTTTCGATATTTGGTGTGCGTCCGTTATTTTTTGTCCCTTTTTCACAACTATATTCTACACGTAATTACATATGTCAAATTTCTTTATAACATAGGTTATATATATTGATTAAATTTAGGAAAAATTCTTTATCAAACGTTCGGATGTCCCGAGAGTAACGCTTCGTATCGAGGTATCTCTTGTGGACAACAAGAATAAGGATTAAAATCAAGGACAATATGAACCATTCTTCTCCATCATCATATATTCGGTGATCATTCTAAGATATTTCTATGTGAATGCAAATGACCTCGTACATTCGGTTGTGCTATTTATGCGAGTACATGCCTGTCGCTTTGACAGGGTGGACAATAAATATCAACTGTTAGAGGAATGACGTAGATAATTTAATGGAGAAATAAGGAAATGATGATTGTGTGTCCTTTCCTCGCCAAAACCATATTCAGATTAACTCACACACACGCTCTGATCTAGCCTCATGGAGTATTACGAGTTCTCCATCGTCTGATAATCAAAGTATTTAAAGCTCGTGCATTATAGACCATCCTGTCGATGCATAAGGCATTGCATATCATGAGTTTTGATGCTCGAGGCATTAGTGTCACATGAGATTTGGCGGGCTTTGTTGATCTTAGATAATGTTGTAATATTAATATCTGATAGATAATAAAGTTAATCATGACGTCATATACATATATATACAGTATAAGTAGTACAAATGTTGTATTAGATAGGTTCTGGTTGGTGAAAGTAATCACAAAACGAGGCATAATGAACATACAAATTATTATAAAATACATCTCAAGAACTTAAAGCGTGAAGTGGACGCAATATACGAAGCAATCGTATGAAAAGATAACAACAGTAATGAAGTTAACTGATAATTAACTTAGTTCGAGACAAACATGGAGGTTAAATTACATACTTTTAGAATTTGCCCTAAAGGTTGGTGGAATACATAGATACATCGGGGGCGAATGAGTAAATCGGGACTAAACAATGATCATGAAAACATGTCATGAGTGGCAAAAGTAAAAAAGAAAATTAGTCGATATTAATGCTTAACTGTGACCACCAAGAACAGTGTCCGTTTCTCGAAAAATACTTGCTGAATAGAAAAGTGTAATAAGCAGATTTTTACAGCGCCAAATCTTTGAACTTGTCATCGGACAACTAGAGCATAATGTCTAATCTTAAAGAGCTTTGTTAAAACGTTATAAAGATGAGTATTCCAGTAGAATACATTGGGAAATATGGATCACAAACCGTCGTTTACGGTATCATTGAATAAGTGGTGTCAAAACAGTTGTATTCGGACAACAGAGCATGAAAGAGGAAATTGAGACGATTCCGGTAGAATTTTTATTTCTTCTCCCTAATCCAATTGACAACATTTTTGCTGTATGCTCAGGTCTTGAAAAGCCTTGCTTTACCATTAAAGTCGCTTTGGATCGACGACAAAAGGTTTTTATCTAAGATTCTGAAAGACTATTTAGAATTGCATTTCACTCTTCTATCATAAATTGTTGTAATTCTAAATCCAGCCCAATTACCTGGCATTCGTAATTCTGTGTTTCCTTTACAAATTTTCGTAATTCGGAGATTGGCCAAATATTCTATTACACACACTTTTTATAGGCTCAGATCATGTGAAAAGCTTTTCACATTAATCTACCCAAAGATTTGGAGATTGCTCCAAAGAGAATTGGTCACTAATCCCTTATAAACATATTCCGACTTAATTAAGAGCATGTAAATATGGTTTGAGACATGTATTTCTAATAATGGATGGCCAACCTATTACTAAAATAAATATTAAAACTTAAAATTAAAGTTCCTGGCAAAATAAATTTTATTTGCAATTGCTCTTTTTTGTAATTATTTATTGCCCCGAAAGCTGAAACCCTAAGCTACAAATTATCTATCATCGGTCATTGTTACATCAAGTTTTCGTAAACTTCGTCTGGATACTTTCAGAGGTGTATAATTAAAATGAGGGAAGAAGAATTTCTTTATTAAGCTTTATGTCAATAAAACTATATGTTTTTACCAAATAAATCAATACTAATACTAATACAGGTAGGAAATCTGTTACTTAATATTACGTACGTAATATCCTTAATATACAGTTTATGGGGTCCACAGATTTTACATTGATATTTATATAAAAAACCATTTCAGTGTATCACAAATAACTACTAACGTAAAAACATTTGCGGAAAACGCTATGCTTACGAGAAAGACTTTTCAGAAATGCAGAAAACCGTTTTCTATATTAATATACGTGTAGACTTCATCTGTGAATAAAGACTCCCTATCATATACAATATAAGCACATTGTTCTACCTATACAAAATAATCTTGCTCACGGGGTCGTTAAAAGGCTTGGGTTTTCTCTGATCGAATGCCTAAGTTACTATTTTCAAGCTTCATCTGCATATTAATACGTTCTAGTTCAGAGATTTTGAAACGCTTAATTTGTCTTTAAACGATGCAAGCAGAAAACGAACTGCATCATTATCCTTCTAAAACTTGGATCAGACAAGACAGCCTTTAATGTCAATATTAACCATATCTCAACTAGGAGAAAATTATGCAGACACTGCTCAACCGGGATTTTTAGATAAGTAAAATTTATTTAATTTGGTGTTTCACTTTTACTTATTTAAGCATTTGTTTGGTTTTACTTTGCCCTTAATTATTATTATTAATTGACTTGATCAAGAAAAAATGGGCGTATGACACTCGAGAATTTTCTGCGGTCACTTTGTCTAGGCTCTAGAGTATAATTTGTAAAAGAATTCTATTACACTTACAAATAATTGATCCTTAAAAGACAAACGACAAAGGATTGGAAAATGTAAAGAACACAGGAACAGACACTCCAGGGATAGCTGAGCATCTGAGACCGAAGGAGAGATTGTTTCATTGGCATCAGCCCTAAATTACCCTTATATCGACAGACCATAACACCTTGCGGTAATCAAGAACATCTTATCATGGAAGCACTTCCTAACGTCTTACTTGACGAGTAACGATACTGCCATAAAACGACGGTGCTTTATACTCGAGGAAACAGAATGACATCAACGTTGCGAAGCCACTTGGAAGATCCACCCATTTCTGGCGAAACATTAATTTCTACAATGTAAATCAAGTATTAGTAAACACAATCCTCGCTATACTACAGCAGACTTTAAAGCAAAGTGCCAACCTGATGAGTGAATTTAGCGGGGAGTGACTGATATATTAATATCGGTTATGTAAGTGGTGCTTTACGGTTCTACACAAATTCCCTTCGGATAAAAAGTAACCATGGTATTGCTTCAGTCAGCAGCTCGCTCTTTCTCTAAACGGAGTTTAAGACGATGATTCTCTCGAAAAGCAGCATCTCTTTCTCTAGTTATTTCGGTTAAAGTACGCTCGAGCTCATTAACTCTAGCTTTTAAGTCTTTATTTTCTTTCATAAGCCTCTCGGCTTCTTCTCGTTTTCTTTTCCGAGATTCGTACGCAGCAGCACGGTTTTTAACCATACGCTCTTGTCGTTTGTCTCTCACTGCGGCTTGAGCTGCTGCTTGGAGAAGCATGGGCATTAAATCAGTTTGCGTTTCTGGCGAATTTGGAGAAGAGAGGGCTTTGGGTGTTATAACTGGCGTTTTTGGTGTTAGAAAGCGTCCGGGTGGCGTCGGGAGACGTGCTTTAGCAGCCACAACAGGGGCTGGTAGGCGAGGTAGAAGAGGCTTTAAGATAGCGTTAGGTGGGTCTTGTCTCCTTTTGCTTCGCTTGTGAGGTGGGGAGTATACTACTAAGGAAGAAGTTGCGGTTGCGGTTGCGGTTGCGGTTGTGGTTGCGGTTGTGCTGTTGCTATGGAGTGTCGGTTGCGTGAGTGAAGCGGACTGTAACGAAGTAATTGCGTGAGTGGTGGAGACTACTTTCCTAGTTGTGTGTGTAGTTTGAGAGTCTATTATGGTGTGTATGGCCAAAGGTTGAGGATAAGAATGATTGTTATGTTTGTTGTGGTCGGTTATTTCCATGGCTTTTGTTGGTTGGGGAACCGGAGGGAAAGAAGATTGGGATGATGGATTGGGTGTAAGTCTGTGATATGAATTGACCTGATTCACACTTGTTTATCCTTATGAGTGGTACAATATTGGAGCTCTGTCGTACTGTTTGTCGGGCTCATTGAAATATTTGTAGTTTGACTGGCGAAGTTCAATTACAGTAACACGCACGAGGGCCATACGAAATGCGCTGCTCATCACGCGAAGAGCGGCCGTAATCGATGATTGAATAATAATGATACATTGCCTTTTCGTTGTTGTATACAAGTTTGAACTTACGCGTGCGAGTTTAAAAAAGCTTTGCAAATTTTTAAATGTAGCCAGATTTATGATATGGAGAAATAAGGTTCAAGTCAACTATGCCACACTTCTCGCAAATAAGAATCGATCAAAACGCGCACGTCGGTATTTTAAACAAATTCTCCTTTCGAATTATTCGGAGTTACATTCTTCCCTTTGCAATTAAATTCGGTGTTCTATAACAAAAGTTTACCTATTCTATTTATCTTTCTCCATCATTTTTTCATTTTAATAAAAAGTTCGAGTTATTGTGATAATTTAACTTGAAATAATATCTGGGAGAGCACTGTATGAGAGGGGTTTTTACTTAAATTATTGCTCGCCTGCAAAGTCTGATGTCGGCATTATTATTATTTTCCTTCAGTAACACAGTCGATCGTATATTTTTCGAAGAAAATTAGATATATACCTATTAATGTTTTACAAATGATAACGGTAATAATAACGGCGCATTTGAAACATACGTAGATTTTGTGTATCAGTGACAGTAAATAGTAATAGCCCTAGTAGTTCTAATGACAAATACGTGCAGTTTTGCATTTCAGTTTCTGACTCAAGCACCCCGCTCATCAAGTTCATTAACCATAGTATTAATTGAGTTAGAGCACAACTAATACAGAAAGTGCCAAGTAACTGGTTAATTCGACTCTATAGCGTTCTGAATGATAATTCTTTTTATGCGACCAAATTCAATTGAGCATAAATTATTGTGAAAGTTGCATTTGATAGGCACAAAAAAATTAATTGAGTAGCTCTAGATTATTAAAAGTTGCAAATATGGTAGCATAAATAGGTCTACTTAGTACTGAAAGATTACTTTCTCGTAAAAGGATGTCTGACATATAACCTATACTTTTCATCAAGTTATGACTTATTCACTTAATAAATTTTTAAAACTAAAATTTTATTCTAATCAGCATTGAAGCATAAGCAATTAATATTATGCATCGATTTTAAAACGTAACCGCATGCTTTCAAGTTATAATCGTGGGCATTCACCATGCGTATTGGGAATAGTAAAGATTGCGCATGCACCAAATAATAATTAACAAGCTACACATTCTAATGCAATTCAATAATATTAATCAATTGAAGCTAGTTCAATTGTACGATACAACTACTACATTAAGGACAGTAAGACGAGCCAACCTCGGTTAACGTTCTCCGGTTTGCGTAAAAAATGAATTACGGATAAATTACGCTCCCCAACCCCAGTTAGATTGCGGACCGCAACAAAATTTGTGATTTGCTTGTGTTGTTTGATCAACGTTCTTTTTCGAATAAACTAATTCTTAGCACTTTTTCATTTCTGTTGGTTGTGAGTGAAGGGGTACTTCAAATACGACGTATCAGTCTTATCACGTAGACCTGTACACATGCAAGATAAAACTTTATTTTTATGTCTTTTATGTATTATTAAAAGAGATAAAATAATTGTTTCTTGACCAATAACTGCTTTGGTTATACTTTTTTTCTTCTTCTTCTTTCTCTATAAGTTTTCTTTATCCGGAAAATTTTGGTATTATGTATTTTAAACCCACGAGGATCGGTCTTTCCCTTTAAATTGCATTGTATGTTATGTGTAAGTGCTACCGTCATGCAACGTATTAATATTGATATGTTATTATTTTTACGCGTCCGTACAATAATTTTGGATAATTGCTAAGCGTTGCCCATCACATTACTATTCCCGCAAACTTAGGGTGTTCTCATCAGCTTACCTCCCCGATGGATTTGGAAGTTAAAGGGGAAACAGAAGCTCTTGCCAAATATATTTCTTTATTGTTTGACAAATTATACATAGTAGAAACAATAGCATTATTACAGAAATGTCCATTAATTACTATTATGGTACCTTAACTCCCTTACAATGATTGCCAAATTTGATATACAATATGCTTTGTTGCGTGTCCACTGCACTGCACTAAATTCAATGTCCTTTTTATGCGGAGGAGTGGCTACACAGCAGTGCGATTTATTGAGGGAATATAACTTTTTATTACAAATACTTTATTATGGCATCTGTAAAATAAAGTAAAAAAAAAAAACAAACAAATAATTAATTTTTTAACATTTTTATTTCATGACGAAAAACAAACAATCAAGTTATCCATTCAAGTACTGCTCCTATTCTTTAGAGCAATGAATAATATTTATAATTTATGGATAGCTTGTGAGCAAAGGCTTTATTTAATAGCTTTTTTTTTTTTTGTATAATTTCTGCGTAACTCGGACCGTAACAAGTGCAGATCAACGAACTGCGCTACTACTACAGCATTATTTCTCCGGAGAGAATCAAGGCTCCATCAAGCAATGCCCGGAGGAAGATTCCCGAGCGCCATTTTCATTAGTCCCACAATTTCGGCACTTGTTGTACATCTCGGACCCTCTTATTTTTTGAACGCTCCCTCACCAGCTGCAAGTTTTTGAAGTATAGTTGGATAATAACATGGACACCTAATTCTTCTGCTTTAGCCACCAGACGTTGGCGAAATTGATAGTGGCCCCAACAGAGCATTTTACGAACGGTTTTTCGTGTTATCTTTCTTGTTTTTCGATTTACCATATTCGACACCTCAAAAGAAGGAATGATAATGGTATCAAATCCGCGAGTAAAAAATGCAACACTCTTTTTATGAACTTCGCTTTGCAGGTGTTTGATTTTGCGTCACATCTAAAATATTGCCTTATTATCAAGTCGCAAGGCCTTTTTATTTTTCTTCTTACGTTTTGAACTAGGGCAGCCAGCTTGTCCTTTATAGAAGAAGATTATCCATATGTTTATAATTCGTCCAATGTCGCATTGGCCAATTTTACCACACTTTTAGTAAGAGAGTACATGTGAAGGGTGTACAAACAAACACCAGGGTCAATGGAAACTACATGAACAGAACTATCCGTGGAGTTGTTTTTGTGTCTCGAAAATTCCATTCATTAGTTTTGCGAATATATGTGATCTTGCAATCGGACGTTATTCTGTGAGGAACAGGCCACTTGTTATTATGCCTTTTTTTTTTCAAAATAAAGCGGCCACAAATCGCGTTTGTTGTCCAGAGTGATAACAGACTTATGACGGGATGCAGAAAGCATTGATGGGTTATGATATAAAAACGGTTCCACGTGGATTTTGAAAAATTCTGCGCACGAATTATTATCGTTTGTCGTAAATCTTTTCGGGATTGAAATGACTTTGCTGATTCGTGGTTGATCCTATATTTTGGTTAATTATCTTGTCCCTAAAACTAGTTAAATAAAATTGAAAAAAAAAATCGAAAAATAACAATCATATCTAGCAGTTAGTGCTTCATCAATTGCCTCATCGATAAAGTTTGCAGGCGCTTTGCCATGTGTACCTTGACGCAGCATTCCAATACGCACAACGGTTCACACAAACCCCATACGCATGATTTTTGAAGTCTCTTGCCCTCAGCTCATTAACGTCTTTTCCTACACGAACATCCGTATAAAGCTTAAGCTTATCTTTAATAGGTTGAGATTTTATCCAAACCCGCCAATATGCGAATCTTTAGTATAGAAACGGCGGTATCGACCCCAGTGGACAACTGCATCATAAGCATACCTCGACAAGCCCATCCACAGTTTCAATAGCTGCTTTTAAAGGTTACTTTGATTAGCAGCGTACGATAGAGAGCTTCCAAATGTTGTCGTTTATTGCGTGCTGTTGTCCTGATCTTGCGCTTTTTTCCTTGTTTGGGTTCTCGTCGGGCGACTCTTCTTCCTTGCTTTATTGCAAGGATATCTTGGGAAAGTTCGTGCTCGCTTCACTGACGAAAACCATAAGTTTTGTAGTATGGGGAAGTGAATGAGGTTGCGGTAGAGTTGGTCACAATGGGTAGCTACTGTACAATTTCTGAGACCATGCCGCGACTTTTCCGTTCCAATAAGGTCTTAAGTTTGTAGGTTGGGATCTGAGGACTTCTTTTTGCTTGGACCCTTTTTTGGTGGTGGTTTTGGCGGCGGTGATGTTAACATTGAGGAAAGAGTTTATGTGTTTACGATTTTGATTTTCAAATAAGCAAAATAGTGCAATGGTTAAAGAATTTGGGATAATGTCTTTAAATATGTTTATGGTTGTCGGTATTTGAATGGGGATACCGAAAACGCGCATGAAACATACAATCTCATAAGGAACCTGTGCTTGCATTGAATGAAGCTATTGTCTACGAAAACGGTTCTGAAGCTTTGACTACGAGCATACAACTCT